TTGAGCTTTATTTTATGACCGACAGCGGACATAGCGCATGGACTATCTTCTATTTTATCCCCTAAACCGTAAACCATCGTCGAAGCCGAAACAGCGGTTGTCGTGACGACCTGGCGGTGGGCAAACGGGCGGGGCGGACCCTTGTTGTAGTCATGGAGTCTACAAGGCTTCCCAGAGAGGTGGCGGCCTTTTGCCTCAGGATTTCAAGGGGTACTTTGGGAGTCTTAGGCAGGGCTGAGCTCGGGGAGTTCGGGCCTTCGGCTTTTGGGTTCAGGATGGGGGCTTTAGGGCTTGGGCACTTTACGGGCTTCGGAAGCTTTATGTTTAGTCTGTCTATGCATGCTTAGGGTTTAGGGTTTAGGGTCTAGGGTTTAGGGTTTAGGGTTCGGGTTTAGGGCTTCAGGGTTTAGGGTTTAGGGCCTAGGGTTCAAGGTTCCAGGGTTTCGGGCTTAGGGTTTAGGATTTAGGGCTTGGGGTTTAGGGTTTAGGGTTCTAACCCAACACAAAGATGGCCTCTGGGACATAGCTGCACTGAGCGTTTAGGGCGGTTGTTCCCCGCAGCGCCTTCGTGTTTAAGGCTCGTGGTTTCGGGAACCTGAACCCCTAATGTAGGGGCTTAAATAATGACCAATACTATTGTGGGGGCTCCTTAATATCATTATAACTTAATGGGCCCCAAAACCCTATTCTAATTATTAAGGCCCCTACATTAAACCGTGTCACCAAAACCCCGAACCTACAAAGCCCTGTCAAGGGACCCTTCAATGGGGACCCCTGAAGGAATCCTTGAAGAGCAACCCTGCAAAAAGGAAATACTATTCACAAGAAAAACCTAAGAAACACGATAATAAGCCCTATAAGCCCCCATAAAGGTTGAAGGAAAGACTACTCAAAAAAATGACAAAAACCTACAAACCACGATGATAGGCCCTATAAGCCTTCATAAAGGTTGAAGGACATACTACTCAAAAAAAGGGAATAAACCCCTGCAAACCACGATAAAGGGACCATTTAAGCCCCCATAAAAGGGACCCTTTAAAGCCGCCAAAGCCCGGCAAGGCCCAAGGCCCAAAGCCTCGTCTCCAGCCCGCGGTGTTCATCACACCGTCGCCGCTGACAGAGTTGAGGTTCCTGCTCACTTTGGGGGCTTTAGGGCTTTAGGCTCACTTTTCGGGCGCTTTAAGGCTTTTTTGGGGGTTTGGGGCTTGAGGGTTTTAAGGGGAGTTGGTGGGTTTAGTGTTTTTGGGGTTTTGGGGGATTTTGGGGCTAGGATTTGGTGGCTTTCTGGCTTTTGGGCTTTGGGGTGTAGGGCTGGGACATAAGGCGACAGGGCGATAGGTTGGTCTTTTCGACTGTGGGGCTTTAGGGTTCTTGTTGGAGTCTTGGAGTCTTCGTCTTGTGGCTTTGGGGTTTTAGGGCTTTACGATGTAGGGTTTAGGGTTTAGGGTTTAGGGTTTAGGGTCCTGTCTTCTCATTCCTGTGATGCTTTATGAAGCTCCGGGGGTTCTGGGTGGTCTTAGGTTTGAGGAGACACGATGAGGCTAAGGCTAAGGTTTCAATTTCGGGCGCTCAACCTAAACCGCATGCCATAAGTCCTGCACCTGAAACCCACAAAACTCCAAACCTCAAAAAGCTCAGGTGCCAGGGTTACTTAGAATAAAAACAAAGCTTCGGGGGGTTGTACTAGGACAAAAACTCAAACAGACTATGACTATGAGGGGGGCGGCAGATTTGTCTAGGGGCTTGGAGCGTACTTGTAGGGTTCATGTGAAGTCAAAGTTGAAGCCAGAAAGTTGGAACATCATTCTCGTCATGCCCTTGAAGGTACGGCATAGGGCATACAAAATCCCATACCCAAACCCCTGTCCTAAACCCCGAAACCCCTAAACCCTTAACCCTAAACCCTAAACCCTAAACCCTAAACCCTAAACCCTTAGGATTTCGGACTTAGGAACCCAAGCCCTCCCGGCGCGCCCGAATCTGTCCATGGAGACCAGGTAGACGGCGGCATTCCTTGGAAGGGCCATAGACGCTTCTTGGTTTAGGGTTTAGGGTTTAGGGTTTAGGGTTTAGGGTTTAGGGTTTAGGGTTTAGGGGGTCTGCAGACACTTCTTCTGACAGACCTCCGACAAAAGCTAAACTTTAGCTAAATCGAAGCCCTATACCCCAGCACAGACATATCCAGCCGTCTATGATGAAGACCAAGCGGCATTCCGGCAGGTACCTGACCCAGGGCGTCGTTACATCTCGATTTGGTAGACGTGGCTTACGACTTGCAGGCTTGAAGGTGTGAGGCTTGGGTTCAGGAGTTGGGGCCAAGGGTCTTTTCTTTAAAGCTTTGGGGTCCACTGCAAGGGCGCCGGACTTGAACCCTAAATCCCCAGACTCTAAACGCTTAGGAAACCTTTCAGGATCGGAACCACAAATCCATGTAGGGCACGAGCATATGCCTGAAATGAGGGTCGGGCGCAAAGGCTTAGGGCCTAGGCCCAAGGTCCAGCGTCAAGACTGGGGGATCCCTTTTTGGGGGGAGGGGGAGCTTTTCACGAGGTTTGGGGTTTAGGGTTTCGGGTTTGGGGAGCTTTGAACGAGGATTCTGCTGTTTGGGGCTTATAGGATTACTTTCGGAAACTCCTACAAAGATATAGAACCGCAGACACTGAGTTTCGGGCGCTTGAGCACTCCCTATAGGCAAGACACCCTAGAACCCTGCTGTAAAGCGCCCTACATACGACGGTCGCTATTACAAGGACCCCCCCCCAAAACACAACAAACTTCAGGCTCCATAGAACATATACATAATACGATCCTGAGCATATGGACCCCTAGAACATAACCCTGCATAGTACTTGTGACCCTCATGTTTAAAGAGCTTCGGTGTTTAGGGCTTGAGTGAATGTCAAGCCCTGACAGCTCTAGTTGCAAACAATCCTAAGCTGCTGAACCCGAATAGTGGGTCTAATCCGTTGCTTTCTCAGACATCGCAACTTGCACTTCATGTGCGAGTGCCTGGCTGACGTCCACGTCGAAAGAGAGCTCCCCGGCCATCGGGGCAAAGAGAGTGTAACCTTTCCCTGGGCTCTTCAGAGTCTGAGATTTGGGGTTTGGGGTTTCAGGTTTAGGGTACGGGTGCCTGAACATGACAGCCAGATCCGTAAGCCCTCGGTCTCCTACAACCCTTAACCGTATGCACTTCTCTGCATCTCGAACACAGGATTTCGGACGTCTGATGATGACGATGATGATGATGATGATGATGATGAGAAGGGGAGGAGGAAGAGGGAGAAGGATGATGATGATGACGATGATGATGATGGTGTTGATGAGGATGCTGAGATTGAGGAGCAGGAGGAGGATGATGCTGATGATGGCGATGAAGAAGATGATAACGATGATGATGATGATGATGATGAGGAGGAGGAGGAGGAGAAGGATGTTGGTGGTGGTGGTGATCATTGATGATGATGGTGATGATGGTGATGGTGATGGCGCTGACGATGATGATGATGATGATGATGAGGGGAGGAGGAGGGAGGAGGAGGAGGAGGAGGAGGAGGAGGAGGACCACGACGATGACAATGACGATGGCTCTGGCGCTGGCGACGGCGATGACGATGATGACGAGGGCGATGGTGATGCTGAGCAGCGC